TTATTTATAATCACAATTTAACTTATAAACTAAAACTACCTGCAATATAGCGAAGCTAATCGAGGCAGGTAGTATGAGAAACGTGTCAATTACGTATCAATATAAATTATATTATTCTAATGACAAAAAAAAAATTACAATTACAAAGGTACAGGTGTCAATTACAAAAGTGAATACAAAAATATAGGTATACTAATAACGAAGCCACGGGCAGATAATTAAAAACAGGAAAAGCTCAAAATACTCTTTATTTTAAAGAAATCTAGTTTCTTGTTATTTCGTGTATTAATGTATCAATATCAGGATAAGAATCCTGGTTTAGAAAGATTTGAAGTAAAGATTCGGTAATTTTTTTTCTTGAAACTATATTTTGGGAGCTGTCTCAAAACATCAGGAATACAGTTCCAAATTTTTGCGCCCATAGAGGAAAAAGGATTCTAATAGTGATTTAGTCGAGAGTAGTTTATATAGAAGTTGCCAGCGGTAGAAGTGTATTATAATGATGAGCATTTTAAAACCCATATAGTGGAAAACTAATAAAGACGATCAAATCGTAAATCTTTAATGGGTCTAAAGAGAGCAGAAATGTTAGATGGCACGACTTTGTTATAGACATCATGCAAATAGAGCAATTTTTAAAGTAGATTAAAGGTAAAGGCAGAATATCGGTAGAGATAAAAAGTAGAACAGCATGAACATTAAACTTAGAGAAATTCATCAAGCGGACAACCCGTTTTTGAAGATGGAGTATCTTGTTTAGGTGCGTTTTGGCTGCTATGGAAGAATAAGAGACCTATATATATTAAGCAAAGTCACGAAGGGAGTGAAATGCCTTAATCTAGATATTATACCTATATGACTACTGATCTTTGACGCCATGTGGCTGATATGATATTTCCAACAGAGATTACTATCCATTAGGTACCCCTAGGTACTTAACATATGGTTTACGTTCTATACTTTTCAGTCTATTACTTTGGTTGTCATATAAATTAGGTTTAATTTCACAATCTAAGCGTTTTTGGTATGGATGAAAGATAACAAAATTAGTTTTCTTTATACAGTAAGGAGAGTTTATCAGCGCTTAGCCAGTCACAGACATTAAGGAGCTCCACATTTACAAAGGATTCAAGTGATTTTAAGTTCTTATCAGTATATAACAGATTTGTATCATCAGCGAATTGGTAGAATCCTAGCTTGTTTGAAGCGTTGTAAGTATCATTAATATAAATCACAAACAATAAAGGACCCAAAACAGAACCTTGTGGCACTCCACAAGAGGTTTTCTCTTTTCTAGAAATATAGGCATAACGTGAATCATCAATATTTCGAAGACCTGGCGCCTAGTCAGAGTCCCTCGGGAAATAACTTTTTCACTATTAATTTGACCTGGCATATCCTGCCTCGATGTATAGTAAACCATTGCCAGCTAGAGAAACAATTTAGTGGAAGATGCTACTAACTAAAAGCACCTATTTTCCTACCAGTGCAATAAACTCAATTTTCAGCTATTTAGTTATCGAACAAGTCAGAAAACATTTCAGGGTTTATATGGATTAACCACAGGCGGCCCAAGCTCTCTTTGAGAACC